TTCAGCAGATTTAGCCCCTCTAAGCACTGCCCTGGGAAACAGTCATGCTCCGATCCCTCTCCTCACATGCAGTGACTTATTCCCAGGCTGGAAACAACATCCCAGGTAATCACTCATGTTCAAGTTGTGTTACTGTTTTACAGGAGATGCTACAAAAGCTTTTGTCTCTGCAACTGTAAATAAACTCATAAAGCTGTGTTAAAAATAGCATTTTGTAGCTTGGTGCATGAATTTTTAATGTATCTTCTGCAAACCAGCTGGTCTTGGCAAGGGTCACAGTGTTTCTTAGGCATTTAACATAAAACTGTGCTTCAAAGCCACATTATAGGGTCGTTGAAGAGTAATATTGTACTTAACATCCTCATAACTGAATTATTTATAACTTCCCATGTTTTATTAATGATAAATATTAATACTAGTGTCTTTAAGAGTAGAGGTTATTGCTGCAGTTTTACTTATAAGAGGTGATATTATTGAAATAAAGGGTCAGCAATGAATTCTGTAGCTAGCAGAGCCAAGTCTGTTCTGAGGCTGTTCTCATTCACACCTTCCTCATCTTATCAATCCTGACAGCCACCCAAAAACCTCAGCCTTTAGCCTCTGTATATTTGAAAGGAATTTTCCTGCAGGCATCTGGATTTCTGATTTGTTTTTTCTTTGTTTTTTTCTTTGTTGTTTTTTTTCCCCCCTTTATTAACAAGCTTTGTTTCCTTCTCATTAATTCTTGAATAATGGGGATTCATTTCTTGGTGAGAGTTCATGAGCTTTGGTTGCAAGGTGCTCGCTCTGGCCTGGACCTCCAGATAGCAGTCCTGAAATATTTTGCTCTATTTCTCAATCTCTCCTGCCAGGGACACCTCCAGATCTCCATTTTTTGAAGCAGCCCTTCCCACCTTGAAAGGGGGAGATCCCCCAGCAGCCTTTGGGCTCCTTCCTGCGTGGCCGAGTGCTCAGGGCCATGACCGACCTCATGTCAAGGCCAAATATGTATGAATTGGATGCACTGCCATCCCACCATTGTCCTCCATCCTTTGCCAGATAGCTTTCATCTTGGGAAAAGGCAAATATGTTTTTGTACCATCTTTTCCCTTGTGCTGGCACATTGCCATCCCACCGGAGCATTTCACAGGTACCTTCTAGTCCTGCTCCCATGGCTGTGGGGTTAGCTGCCCATCCCACCTTCATGGCTGCAAACCTACAGGTGTGTGGGGTTTGACATAGAATGTCATGGGTTGGTAGGGACCTCTAGTCCAACCCCCCTACATTAGCAGGGACATCTCCAACTAGAACAGATTGCTTGGAGCCTCATTGAGCCTGACCTTGAATGTCTCCAGGGATGGTGCCTCCACCACCTCTCTAAGCAACCCATTCCAGTGATCCACCACCCTCATACTAAAGTACTTTTTCCTCATGTCCAACCTCAGTCTACCCTTTTCTACCTTAAAACCATTGCCCCTTGTCCTGTCATTACATGCTCTGATGAACAGCTCTTCCTCAGCCTTCCTATAGGCTCCTTTCAGGTACTGGGAGGTCACTCTCTTGCTCCACCCCACTCCATCAGCTGAACAAACCGGCGGGCTGGGAGCTGCGCGGGTGAACGCGCCACATCTTTAATGTATGATCGCTCGTGGCCATCGCCCATCTGCTGCAGCCCGGCTGGGGCTTGCAGATGGAGGATTCAGCTGCCCTGACACACGCAGCTTGTTCCTTAGGACGAGGATTTCTCACCAAGGAGAGGGGTGTTACAGGCTGGGGTGGTGAAGCAGGAGGCTCTTTGGAGTTTATTTTGTGTTTTGTATGGCAATGTAGGAGATCTTCCTGTGGATGCAGCACTATAAATGAATCATGAGCTAAATAACCACTGAGATGTTTATTAGCTTTGAATATGTTTATTGCAGAGTCAACAGGCAGCACCTTCTAATTAATTAATAGTAATAATTACTGTATTATTTATGTAGCTGTAACAGCATTCCAGAGACTTTCCACACAGTGGTTCCAGCTGTGGCTGCAACGGGCTGGTCTGTGTTCACCCTGTGGGGGCAGCTCAGGTTTGTCATTTGCTGCTGGCTGCTCTCAACCCCAAAAGCCCAGGTGAGCTGAGCTCTTGGCGCTGCTCTTTCCATCACCTGAAGCCTGTTGCTCCACAGTGTGGGGAGGTGGCTGTTCTTTCCACTGGAAAGCAGAGCACCCAGTGAGCTGGAACATGTGCCAAACAGGTAGAAATCAAGGGCTGTAAGTTTTACTGAGGTATCTGGGAGCTCTTTTGGTCAAGATATTAGAACAAAATGAGTTTAGGAATCAAGCCATGTGCTTGATGTTTATGACAGAGAAGACATTGGCAGCAACAAATCTCTTTTCTGATGTGAGCTTGGATCCAAAGCCTGTGGAAGCTGTTGAGAATGACCTCTGGTAAGTGCTAGTGCTGTGTCTGTGCATCCTGCTGCCCCTGTAGACCTTGCTGTGGAACATTGTGGGTCATGGAGCACCATCTCCTGTCCTGGTTGAGTCAATTTGCAGAGGCAGACATATAGCAAGAACTTGTCACAAGCTTTGTTTCTCCATGCAGGAGGTTAGGTAGCAAACCAGCCTTCTGCTCTTGTGTTACAATCCCCTTTGCTGTCTCTGGGAAATGGGGGAGTTTCTAGGTCATGTGAAGTTGCTGACAGTGGATCTCTTCTCACATGTGAATATTTTTATCTCTCTTTTTGTTGTCTTTCAGCAATGTCTGACTTCCACATCCACCCTCAGAATGCAGTGGTAGAGGAAGGAGGTGTAGCCAGATTCCAGTGCCAGATCCATGGCTTGCCCGAGCCAGTCATCCTCTGGCAGAAGAACCGCATGCCGGTCAACACAGACAATGAAAGGTAGGATATGTCCAAACCACAGACTGCTGTCCTTTCTCCAGGTGGAAAAAGGTTGCCAGGCTTGCTCTTGTTTTCTCAATTGTGCTAGAACACAACTGATCGGGGCTGAGGGTCTCAGCCACCATTTCTGCCATGGAAGGCTCTTTCAGTTAATGTTGGAGGTTGACTGGGCTTCTTCTGGCCAAACACTACAGAAATACTGCATCTCTCAAAAGAACTGGATAAACCACCTTAGGTGATTTTGGAGGGAGCAAAACCTTGAATTGTCCTTCCCTCATTAGCCCTCTTCCATGTTTACTTTCCAGAATAAAGTGCCCAAGCACCAATCCTAGAAGACTTGGGATAGATTTGGCACTAATCATCCCTCTGTGGCTCCATTTTGTGCAGCTCTTTCCAAACTAGATCCATGACTTAGGACCTTCCATGTGGGTCCCGAACTCCTAGAAGCCCTGTATGACACTGTGGCTGCTAGACTTTCCTTCTCATATACAATTCAGCTTCCATTTCCCATGCAACCCTCCTGAAGAGAAGCCCCAGTTGCCCCCTTTCTCTAGCCTAGACCAGGACGGCACGTTCTCCCTTCCTCTGTTTGACAGGCTGCTCCCTTTGTGTTGGAAACATCCCTCATCAGGGTTTGGTCCTCCAAGCAACAGTGGGGCCCAGTGGAGGATAGGTGGCAGGAAATGTGTGCTCCATGCTGGTGGTCTCAGCTGCATCATGGGAGCTGCACAGCCCATGGTGGGAGACAGTTGGTGGCAGCACACCTCGATGGCCAACTGACATCTGTGTATTGGGAACAGGAGAAATCAGGAAGCTGTAAATATTTTTCTGAAAGCCCCTATTCTTAAAAATGTCAGTTCTGCAGCAGAATGTGGTTGGGTGCTTTGGAGGCAGGAGAAAACACGAGGACTGGAACAATGAGTTGACCTTTTCAGTGTTGCAGTGAACTTACAGTAGAAGGACACAAGAGGCCCAACTCTTCTGTGGAAAACTGCAACTGTCAGGTTTTGTTTTTCCTTACGTTTTTCATCTGAGCTTTTTTTAGCCCAGCACAGGGTTGATTTGTTGAGCTTGATTTCCTCTGAAGGCTCCTTCCTCACGCAGGTGCTTAACTGGAGATGCAGCAGAGCAGCACTGATGGTCCAGGGTGCTATCAGCAGAAGTAAGGGGTGCAGAACAGGGCCTGACACCTTCTGTGCATCCTGATGGGATGTTGCAGGACAGGTCAAGTTCCCTTGAAGTTCCTCATGCATTATTGCCCCTTTCCAGTTGAGCCTGGGATCAAGGATATGTAGATGATCAGAGATATGGCAGGGATTTGAATGTGATCAGGAGTTCTCTGCAAGGCTGAGGAGCTCCAAGAATGAGGGCAAGGACCCTGTCCAAGCCCTGGAGGTCACGAGCTAGGAATAGTTTCCCTGTGTCTGGTAACCTGATTTTGAACAGATTTTACTTTTTGTAGGAATAAAGTTACTGGGGAAGGTTTTTATTGTAATTTCAATAGATTAATCTTTGACACCAACGTGCCTGGGTGATGGGGGTTGCTCCTCTAACTGGACTGGATTTCTGCATTAATCACACTTGGTGCATTTTTGCCTTTACAGTGTATATAAATTTTTATGCAGAGTCTTGCACTTGGAGGCTTTGAAGGCAGAATAATAGCTTTGGAATTGAATTTTCTAATGCTGTGGGCAAACTGTTAACAAAGATGAAGACTTCTTATGGTATAATTCATCCAAAACAGTGGGCATTTTTAAGTCCCAGAGAGTTTGCAATCAACTTTGGGATGTGTAAAGCTGATTGCTGTCATGCTGCCACCAACACCGAGCCCCGCGTTTGGAACATAGCACAGGGAGCAAGTGACAGGCACGTCACCAGGTGCTGATATGGAGGAAGATATTACTCAGCTTCTAGTGGTAAATGGATTATTAATCACCACAGCCTATTGACTTACTACCTGCCAATTTAAACACAAGGTTGCCAAGCAACCTGTAATGTATGTATACATGTATGTATATATGCATGCATGATTTAAATGTTTTAAATATATAAATATTTATCTTGTTGCCTGCTTGCTATTTATTAAAAAAATTCCTTTTCACGTATTTGAGGTTTTAAGATCATGTAGATTTGAGTTGTGGACCTGGATCTGGGAATGTGGAGCACACATTTTCCCTGATGCTTATCCATGGTCCCTGTGCTCCAGCTGATGGGTGGTAACTCCTGTGTGGGCTGTGTTCCCATGTAAATGTGCTGCCAGAGCTTTTCCACAGGTTAAAAAAGAAGCATCTGCTTTGTGGCCTTCAGCAAAAGTCATCCTTTCTCAAGGATGTGTTAGAAGATACAAAAAGGGAATATATTCCTTGTAAAAAGAGACAAGAGGCTCAATTGTTAAATAAAAAATAAAGAAGTACTGCAGTGATAAGCATGGGCTTTTCTCCTTCCGCAGGTACACGCTACTTCCCAAGGGAGTCCTCCAGATTACAGGACTGAGGGCAGAAGACAGTGGGATTTTTCATTGTGTTGCTACCAATATTGCTAATGTGAAGTTCAGCCGGGAGGCCAGGCTCACCGTGTCAGGTTAGTACCAGTAAACACTGTCCTGACTGTCTGTCTTCCTTCCACTGCTATTCTGGACTAGGGCAGTTATTGAGATCTTCAAGCTGCCAGCACTAAGAAGCATCCCTCTGTCCAGCCATAGCACCTTCCTTGTTTGGGATTGTTATTAATTCCTGCCAGATCAGGCCATTTGATAGCAGATAAATCTGTCTCTTTGCCTGTAAATTAGTGCCAGTTTCTGGGTAGAGGGAGAATGGTGAGAAAATGAGTTACAGCAGCTTTACATTAAATAAATTCTTTTGGAAATGTGGAAGATTCATCATTTCCTTATGAGACCTGCCTACCCTGGAAGTAATTGCAGCACACAGGGTGATTAATTATTTATCTAATGGGGGAATTATGTTCTGTAGGCTGTTAGCATTTCATTGCAACCAAAGTGGGCTAACCTTTCTTTGGAAGATGAGAGGGAGAAGCCCTGAGCACCCCAGGGCTGAATTTTGACTTGGTTCTCCATCCACGTTGGAAGTCAGTTGCTGAAACACATTTTCACTTCTGAAAGCTCCAGTGAAGAAATGACAGTGCCTTGTGGTATTCTCTCCAAAGAAAAAGGGCCAAAATCACATCCTTGCTGTTTGGCTTCATGCTGCCAGAGGTAGGATGTGATGATGCTCCATGGGCAAAACAAAGCAACCCACAGCCACGCTTAGCATGTGCACAAGTTGGGTCTGTTTGTGAGAACACACAAGATGGCATGTGGAAGTGATGACATTGGGCATGGTGGAGGAAGGATTAGGGTGCAAATCCACTGCTGCCACCTTTCCATAGCTGTGCTGCCCTGCCTGTTGCCCATCTTCCATTCGTTGTCCGTGTGGGACTCATGCTGATCTCTTGGAAGTCCCTCCAAATCTTTCTATCACCTCTCTCTTTCGTAGGGGCGTAAAGGGAACAGTGCTCTCTGCTCTTGGTCATGGCAGGGGGGCTCCCCTGGGGACAGCAGCTTCAACTAGTGCTTCTGGCTGGAGAAGCACCAGCTCTGCCTCACTGGGGTCCCTACATAAAGCCCTGACTGGGGAAGGAGGAAGGAGAGGATGGAAATGGGCTCTGGGAGCTGTTGTTCTGCTGGGCACTGCCACAGCCTGCCTGCAGAGGATGAGGAGGGTGACTGCCTGTGGGGGATGAAGGACCCTGCTCACAGCACTTTCCTTCCTCTCCCCGGCAGTGAGCAGCACGGATCTGTCTTCCAGTCATTGATTATTTTCAAGTGCCTGCTTAGCGGAGCTGCTCCCGAGGGGCTGCCTGCCTCTCTGCTCTGACACCTCAGCACGAGCTGCAGCTCTCTCTGCTGCTCTCCTTTTGATCAAGATCTAACAGCCCATGCCAGCGACATTCCCATCCCTGCTGGAGTGCCTGTCACTCCTGGCAGTGTTGGGGACCTCCCTATTCTCACCATGATTGCTGCTGGCAGAGTCCCTGGGGACCACGTGCATCATTAGAGCCTTTTTCCTCTTTAAAATAAATCCCCACCGAGCTGCCTTGAGCCCAGTTGTGCTCCAGCAGCACTCGCCTGCCGGGAGTCACTTGGTTTGCCACTCCTTCCTTCCTGACCCTGCATCAAAGAGCTTTTCTGGTTGGAGAAGGAAACCTCCCCCCTGATGGTTGGCCATGGTCAACCCCTTTGCATAGTCTGACTGCCTGAGTCCCTGCTGAGTCCCCATCCCACTGGCTCTGGAGCTGGCATTGCTGTGAGTGTTGGGCTCAGCAGCAAAGCCACGGGACCATGATGTGCCCTTTGCAAGTAAAGGTGGACAGTGGTGGAAACATCACTCCCAGAGCTGGGCAGGGCTGGGCTGAACTCAGAAAGCTGAGCCCACACCCAAAAACCCAGATGCCCATTTAAGACTGATAGTATAAATCAAAAACTGGAGGGTTTTTTTTATTGCTAAAATAGAGCATTTTGTAAATGTTGCTTTGGTTTCAGCTGCTGTTCACTGATATTCTTGGGTGACCTTGGGCAATTAATTTAATTCCTCTGTGTTTTGAAATATTGAAATCGCTACATTATATGATGATAATACTGTATTATTCTAAGCATGAACATTTAGTATTGTGATTTAGAACAATAAATCTACATGAGTTTTAAAGCCACTCCGAGGTACTGAGGAGGAAGATATTGTTTTTCAGATCTCTTGGGGTTAACCAGCCGGTGATATGAATTTATTGTGCATTCTGGTTCTCATCAAAAAAATCTGCATTTTATGGCTTGCAGGGAAATGCATTTAGTGAGAAAGTCAGCTCTTAAGTCTCACTGACACGGTGATTTTTCTTGGATTTTGCCCATTTAGGCACAATCTTGGAGTGGCTTTATCACTCCCTGTTTAGTCCCCGTAGGAACGATTAACAAACGAGCTGCTCTGATCTGTACTTGCCCTTGGACTTCTACAAAATCCCCCAGCTGACACCCTGCCTTCAGCCCCAGAAAGGGTAATGCTAAAAAGAGCAGGGAGAATTTTTTTTTCCTTGGAGAAAAGCCCTCGCAGATAGTTTTTGGTTGGTCACTTCTCTTTACCAAGCTTTTTGGCTGTGGGAAAAGCCATGTGCAGGAGTCAGTGTGGGATGGTCCCTGCAGCAAAGCTCGACCTGTGGCAGAGCTCTGCTCCCCAGCCTTCCCTGTGCCCCTCTCCTGCTTGGGGAGGGGACACACGACCAGGCCAAGTATTGCTCTCCACAGGTGTACCGAGCATTTTCTCCAGCAGCAGCTGTCAGATTGTTGAAATTCCTTAAACACTGCTTGGCCTCTGCATTTGTGGAATATAACCCAGGTCTTGTTGGAAATGGGGAGAAGGCTAATATAGAGATTATTAGTGTTCCTGGTTACTGAGGGAGAACTGAGAATATCTGCTTTCTTTTCCTCCTCTCCTGCTCCCAACAAGTAGGAGTAAAGACTGAAGGAACCTTTGGCTCAGGGATAAGGCACTTTCTGCTGCCTCAGGAGATGTGGGTTCAGCTGTGGTGTACCTGGCACAGGATGATGGGTTTGTCCCACGGTCTCCTCCTGCCTGGTGAAATGTGGTTTCTTTTGCTTGGCCTCTGCCTGTTTGGTTTCCAGAGTCCTCATGCCAGGGCTTTATTTTATTATAGGTCTGTGCATCATCTTGTACTATGGGTTTCATTCTTGGTTGCTGCCACTCTGAGCTACTATAATGTAAACAAACAATTAGTAATAAGAAGTGATTGCATTGTGATTATATCAGAGCCATGGGATGCATCTTCCTCCTGCACCCAGTTACACCAGATAGGGCAGGGACATGATCACTCTATGGACTTCAGTCATGAGAGGATTTGATTTTCCTCCCAAGGAGAACCTCAGCAGGAGTCAGAGACTGGCACTTCTGTTGCCCTCCATGTCCCAGGACAGGGCTTTGGGAGTAAATGACACCAGCAGCAAGAGAGGAGGCTCAGAGAGGCAGATTGAAGTGTTGTGGACTGCATGAATTACTTCGTGGCTTGAGATGCCAAAAGATAAAGCAACTGCTTTGTTTATTTGCATTCCTGTCCTGCAGCTTGTGTCCTCCCCACATGCCATCTTTTCCCTGCCCATCTGCTCCCTGTGGGTCACAACATGGTTCCTGCTTCCTGCTGCCCAGAGCTGGGTGTTGGCAGAGCTGCTTGTGGCTGAGGGGTTTTTCCCAGGAACATCAGTGGGAACACTTAAAACATGTTCAGACAGTGTCATCCAGGCATTGCACTCCTGTTGTTTTGGGTTTGTCTCAAATTTATTGAGGATTTCACCAGCCTGATCACTGGTACTTAGAGGATGCTTGAAGCCCTTGGTGTTTTCACTAGACAAGAGAGAATCAGATGCCTTTTAACAATGATTAGAGACAGTAGGAGGGAATTCTTCACCATAAGGGTGGTGAGACCCTGGCCCAGGTTGCCCAGGGAAGCTGTGGCTGCCTCATCCCTGCAAGTGTTCAAGGGCAGGTTGGATGGGGCTTGGAGCAACCTGGGCTGGGGGGAGGTGTCCCTGCCCATGCAGGAGGGCGTGGTACTAGATGATTTTCAAGGTCTCTCCAATCCCAAACCATTCTATTATTCTTTCCTTGCAGGTTCCCACTCCACCGTTTACAAGGACCCCATGATTCTCGTTGGCCCGGAGAACCTGACGCTGACTGTGCACCAGACGGCGGTGCTGGAGTGCATCGCCACCGGCAACCCCCGCCCCATCGTCTCCTGGAGCCGCCTAGGTAAGCAAGCCCTGGGGGTGACCTGGCTTTCCTCCTCCATTGCCATCTGGTGGGAAATGGGGAGGTGCCTCTGACTCTCTTTTTGCAACAAGTGATTCACCCTTTCCCTTCCCGCTGAAGTTAATTGTAGGCTTGAAGTGCTTTTTCTCCTCCTGTTTTTTCCCTCTGCCAAGATCCTGTTTTTACCTGTTGGAGAAGTGGGTTGGTTAAACCTGTAGATGTGTCATGAAAGGTGATAATTTTATCTTTCCTCGAGTGACAGCATCTTCAGCTGCATCAAAAACATTCCCACTGTTGGCCCAGAGAAGCAAAATCATACACAAACACATCTTTCACTTAAAACAGACTTGAAAGAAACTTGCTGCCTGTTCGGGGAGTTTTAAGTAAATTTTGAGGGAACGAGACTATTCAAATTAGCATGTCTGGAGCTTTGAAAAAAACAAATACTTGCTGCTGGGGTCTGTGATGTATTTCTTAATCAGCATGGAAACCAGAGGCAGGGGCTGATGGCATCAGACAAGCAAGGAAGAGCAAAGTGCTGTGTTTCTCTGCTGGGTTCCCTGATCATGGCAGGGGGGTTGGAACTTGATGATCTTTAAGGTCCCTTCCAACCTTAATGATTCTATGATTGATTCTCCCAGGCTGAAAGCAAGGATTTTTAGGCTCCAGCATTGTGATAGCTCAGAAACTATTTTGCTCAGAGAAGCACTTCCATTGCCCTACAGAAGTCTATGCTGAGCAAAGACCTGATGGCTTTTGGCTTATCTTCTGGAGTTTGTAGCTCTGCCTGTGTGCTGTGGGGTTGGGTTCATTTAGTATTTCCCAAGCCCTTGTGGTCTGTTAGGTCATGTCATTTTGGGATGCTAATCTCCCTGAGTCCCCCAAGGTGGCTGTGAAATGCAAACAGGGATAATCCTGTCTGGTGCTGCTGGGCTGGATGTGGGACTGCATCCCTGTGGCTCTCCAAGGGTCAGGGTCCAGCTTACTCCCCACCCCAGAGTGGCCTGCCAGGGAAGGAGGACACACATCCAGCATCAGCTGCACAATTTCTCCATTTGACCTCCTGCTTGGATCCACTGGTGGCTTGTAAAATCAGCAGGTGTCTGCCATGAGCTGCTTTTTTTTTTTTTTCCTCCAGAGCCATAACCATCAGATAGATGCTATTTTAAAAATTCTCCAGCCACACTGTATCACTAGTTTGGTTCTGTTGGACACAAGGCAGCTCTACGTTAGCACTCAACTATAATAAACTACTTTATAATTGCCTTAATTATAAGTGCTTATTATCTTCTTCAAAACACTTGTCTCTATAGAGCAGTGCAGTAATGAAGATGTAATAGCTTCGTGTGATGTTTGTCTGGCTGGTCTGAGCTCAGCATTGTCTTCCACCAAAAATAAATACTCTCCCCATGCTGCTTTGCAGCACTGCAGCAGAATTAGGGCTACTGAATGGGAAAGAGATCCCGTTATTTCAGTGGGAATGTTGCCTGTCTAAAGCATCAGAAGATCTTATTTTATATTACACTAATCTCATGGGTGATGTAGTATACAGGCTCTCTTGAGTTTTTGGGTCTGTCATCTTTTTGTGGCTCTTTCATGTCTCCATGTCTCTGTGGTTGGGAGAAGGGAGAGGGGTTTATGCTGAACAAGGAGGTCCTGCAGAGCATCTGTACCTGTGGCTTCCTCCCCTGTGAGGGTCTCCTTCTGGAATTTCCTCCTGCAGAGCTGAGTTAGCTTAAATACATAGTAAGTTTACTCAGCTTAGAAAAAACCCACTTTTAATCCACATCCAGAAATAAAATCCATGTCCACAAAGTCTTAGGGAGATGCAGCTGATTGAGCAATAGCCCTGACTTAATTTAAACAAAAAAGTCAAATATTTGTGAACATCTTTGTTGCTTGGTTGAAATATGAGTCGTGCTGTTGCCTTTGTCTTTGCACCTTTGCTCACAGGTTGGATGCTGTGCCATTTCTTCTATCAGAAAGGAGCAAAAGAACAATTTTGCAGCTTTCTGGAGGAGGGGAAAGCAAGCCCCAAACGATATTTGCACTTCTTGCTTTGACTTTGCTAGAACCTGGCTGGTTTTCAGTGGGAAGGCAGCTGTCTGTTGCATGAAGGAAATGATTCGAATTCTGGGCCGGTTTTTGAGTGTCACGCAATCAATTTTGAATTTAATTTCCTTGGGAATATGTTGCAGCCCCTGACCACAAACAGAATTCCTGTGTCTCGCCATGCCTGAAATGTCAACATTCATTAGGGAGCAGGCTCTGAGCAAAATGTAAAATCATTAAGGGTTTGTTCAGGGAAGATCAGGCTTTTCCTTTCAGAGCTCTGAACTTCAGGCTTGGACCTGTATGTGTGCGCAAATGAATATCCTGGGCACTTACTGCAAAGCCTTTTGAATGAGTGACTGTTTTAATGTCTCCTTCCCCTTTAGCTGACAGGCTACTGAGCCAGCCTCCATAAAAGGTACCAAGGCAGAATAATAAACTATTTAGAGAGATATAGAAAAGTGAGGCGAGAAAGAAAAGACAGTGATTATCTGATAGTGTTATACAGAAGTTGTCAGAAAGGATTGCACAATGGGAAGGAAATTACTAAAGAGGGGGCCATTCAAGAAGTAAACTATACAACAATTGTAGGAGCCAATTAATTGGTAACTTATTGGACACAGAAGCTTGCAATAGATGGCTGACTGGTTGACAGGAGCACCGTTCCCGTAAGTGTTTAGAAATAATAGAGTAAATTTCACCACTTCACATACTGAATAGTCAACTGTTGCAATGTACTCTAAATATGCTAATCCACAGCGCCCAATGTCCGCTGGAGCAGGAGACCCATGTGTCTAAAAAGTGGAAGGCTACTATGGCACAATACAAAGAATTCACAAAAGACCTAAATGATCAACATTAGAAAGTTGTTACTTTCTTTCTACTTGCTACTTAGAGAAGAAAAGCGTTGGCGTTGTTGCATATTCATCTCGCCTGGCACGTTTGAAGGGGTCTCTGTAATTGGTGCTGGTGTGCCAATCACTAGATTTGCAGGCAGGGAAGGGCCTCCAGAAAACATCAGATACACCTTGGAAAAATAAATAATGGGGCTCTGAACCTCAGGCATCTTTCAGCTGGACCTTGCCCCAGTGGGGAACCTGGAAGCCTCGATGTGTCCGTTTCGGGAGCATCTTTTGGGAGCATCTCCCATTTGAAGAAAGCTCTTCTTTATTGATCAGTTGCCCAGCTGGTCTTCACAACCAGCTGAACCTCCTCCTTCAGCCCTTGTCAACTGAAGATCCTCAGAGAGAATCTGTTAAGCATTTCCACTCAGACTAGCTTCTTTTCAGCCCTCACATTTTCTGCTTTTGACTTCATAAGAAGATCATGTTAAATGAGCAGCAGTTTTGAGCCCATGGGGATCCTGAGAGCTTTGGCAACTGAGCAACATTGTCAGCTTTGGCAGTCTTTTGGATCTCCTCCATGGAGACATGACTTGGTGATGGCAGGCAGTGCCAGGAAGGTGGGTTTTCAGGGTTTGGATCCCTGGATCCAAGCCTCTCTTCATGTGTCTGTGTAAAGGAAACAGGGTTAAAACAAAGAAAAACCTTTGCAAAGCAGATGTGAGGCATCAGTCCCTCTGCACAGCACTTCTGCAATGTGCTGAGGTTTCAGGATGCAAGGAATTTCTTGTGTAAATATTCTGTATTATTTATATGTGTTGTCAAGTTGGACTTGATAATAGCTGAAGAGCTAACTGATCAAATGATTGCTCAGGCTGAGTGAGGCACAGTAGAGTGAGAAGGAGGATGGAGCAGGCTGGGAAAGTAGAGTTACTTCTCTAGAAGCCCTTTTCAGTGTTCTTTGGAAGGGAGGGTTTGAGCAAGAGGCACATGGGATGATCAGTGAGCTTTGCTGGTTGAGAGATGTGGCCACAGCCTCTGAACCAAATGGCAGATTCCCTGAGGTTTTGAGCTTGGAGAGCTTGGTTCTTCAGGGAATTGAAGGATGCTTGATTGACAGGAGATGTGTCTTCAGACCACCACACCTCTAATTAGTAGTTGGAGCTAGAGAGGGAACTGAGGACGTATCAATGCTGGTATTTGGGCTTAGTGGAGTACCTGCTGCAGGCAGGGTCTCTGCATGTGTAAATTATGTAGCAGGTTATAAATAATACAGTAAAACTGCTGACATTCAAGTCAGATTTCTGTGGTAATTCTCAAGACAATGATGTGCTGAAGCATCCAGGTATGGCCAATTGGCATCTGTCGCTGGTCCCATCCTTCCCTTAAGACAGAGATTGGATTTTTACACCTATTGTACATATGGACTTCTAAAAGGTCTCATTTAAAAGATGAAACCAAGTTCCATTTGAATTTAATTCACATCTCTTTCCACTCCAGTTCAAATGATGTTTAAAGGAATGGTTCCTTCCTATTGCTCATTAAATGGGGGACAGGTCATGTTTTACTGTCCTTTTTACAACTGAGCTGTTTACGGCTGCAGTGGCTTGGCCAGCTCTGTGATCATTTAATCATTTAATTACATTGTTTTTCTCTCTCTAAAAGACCAGAGCTGCTTTTTTTTTTTTTTTTTTTAAAATAGTACTGCCTGCCTAATGAAGCAAGGAAACGTGTAAGTCTAAAAATTTCCTGAAAAAACAGCATATAAAGAGCGTGCTTTGTAGCTTTCAGGCCATGTTTGGATGGGGTTTTTTCCTTTCACTAGCCACAACCTTGAAACACAAGACACAGGCTCTTCTGCTATTGCACATCTATGGAGGCCTCGTAAGATGGTCAGGTGGGGAGATCGCCAGGGCTAGTTTGTGCTTCTCCCACTTCTGGAGGTTCTTTAAACTCATCCATGAGCAAAGACAAGAGAGGAACTGTGTTCCCATTTCTCATCCGATCAAAGTGTGTTCCCTGTAACTGCTCCCCCAGTAAAACTCCCCTGCTCAGACACCCTGACACGTGCTAGGACTCATTTAGAGCTGCCTTTGTCAGATGGTGTCTTAAAACACAAACCAATGAAACAATAAAAAGCAATAGCCTGATACTAATGAAACACGTTGTAATTAGAGTTGGCTGGGAATTTTCCACTGAAAACAGGCTTTGTTGGGAAAAGGTGAATCCCCTGATACTGAGTTATTGCATGTTAAGCCCTTTAATTTTGAAGACCTTGTGCTGGAGTCCAGGTATGGTCTTCTGGAAACATCACTGCTGTGCTGCCAGCCTGCCTCAGGCCCAGCACCCAGGGTGAAGACAGACCTTCCAAGCCAAAGGAGTTGAGCAGATGTTTCTACCCAGCTCAGAGTTTGGCTTCTTGGCCCTGGACATGATCAAGAGTTAAGCCACAAAAAATCTGTTGTTAATAATGTTTCCAAAGCCACAAAAAAAATTAGCAAGGGTTAGTAGGCAAAAAGGTAGAACTTCTGGCTCAGGAAATCTCAAATTATAAATGAATTGCTGGTGGCTGGGAGAGTGCATCAGGGAAGTACTGCTGCAGGTTGTCTCTCTTCTCTCTCCCAGAGCCTCTGTTGGGAGCAGGCTATTGAGCTACTTGGATCTTTGGTCAATGTAATGTAAGAACCCAGGCAATGGGTCACAGAGGCTGCTATGGTTTAACTGTTCCATTAGAAATCGTTCTGGGTGCTCCATCTTAATCTAAACATGTGGTTGAAAGCTTTCACTTTTTCAGTGATGGTACCTTGGTTTTCCAAGCAGCACCAAGTGTGGTTTTGGGCAAACATCTCACTGAGGATCCTGGTTTCTTCCAGAAGGCAGTGCTGAGAGCTAAAACCCATTGACATGGGTCAATCCCACTGGTAAATTCCACTGACGGAGCACGGCACCACCCCATGTGTGCTTAGTCTGGACCTTTCCAAGGGCTGTGCCCTGCAGAATCTCACACAAAGGTCCAGCATGTGACTCATCTCCTTCTCCCCTTCTTTCAGATGGCCGCCCGATTGGTGTGGAGGGGATCCAGGTGCTGGGGACAGGAAACCTGATGATCTCAGACCTCACAGTGCAGCACTCTGGCATCTACGTGTGCGCTGCCAACAAACCGGGCACGCGGGTGCGAAGGACAGCACAGGGCCGGCTCGTGGTGCAAGGTGAGCAAACCTGGGGCTGGTGGAGTGGTGATGCCCACCTCTCTGTGCCCTCTCCACGTCCCATGCCCACAAGATGTGGGTTGATCCCCTTCCTGGCAACAGCTGTCCTGAAATGCCACTTTTATAGGATGATCCAGCCCAGAGTAGAGAACAGCACTCATAAAACCAAAGAAATCCCCTCCCCACGCTCTGCACAACCAGTCTCCATGGTGAGGAGACCCAGGCAAGTGTCTGAGAAGGCAAACCCAGCTGGCAGGGTGCTCTGAATGGCAGTAATCTGTCCCTGATTACAGGCACTCGCCTCCTCTTCAAGCTAGTCCACTTAAAGCATCTCTTGCTCTCATCAGTTCACTCATTAACTATTGACTGATGATATCCTGAATCTAAAATTACACACCTCCTGCTGGAGAGAGCTAATTGAACCTTTCATGCTGGTGATGGGGAAGGTGCCCTGATGCTCACCTGGCAGGTCTCGGGAGTCACTGGTAGTGATCTGGCACTGCTCCTGTAGCAGCCGTGGTCCCTGCGTGCTGGCATCCCTTTTCCTCTTTGCCCTGGGAGAAGCAATATAGAAAGGTGCTTCTACAGGGCTGCTTGTGCCTCCTGAGTCCCAGGTGCTGTGTCAGTCATGAGAGGAGGTGAAAACTTGCTGTTTCTTTTGCTGTTGGTGAGCAATTCAAAGAGGGGACCTCCCTTCTGGCTGCGGGTGGGCACAGCTATGAGTCCCCTTATTAAGAAACACCAACCCAGGCAAAAAGAACAACCTTGCTGCACTGATACCAACCCTTTAGAGCTGCTGCAGAACAGCTCTGCGTGTGGTGCATCTAGCAGAGCTCTGCAAGTCCCAAACACAAAGATGATGTCCAGGAGGCAGGCAGGCAGAGCCAAAAGAAATTGCTTGGAAAATCTATGAAGTTGCAAAAATACAGCTAGTAAATGCTGGTGACTGCTCCTCTCAGCTACTGGATGGGAGGAGGAAAGGCAGCACAAGTTCTCATTGCTACAGATGGGCAGTTCTCAGTCTCTTTGGAGATTTGAACATCAGCTCCTGAGCAGGTCTAGTGCCAGACTTTATCTCAGGTAGATTTACTGTGGATTTTCACCTGGGAAACCAAGATGAGAATTTGTCCTTAAAGTGACAATGGGACCAATGTAGCCTGGCCTCCCTGAGGAAGGGAGTGCTCCTGTGTTCAGCATTAGTGGAGAAGTAGACAATGGTGTGGAGAAGCGTGGCCAGTACATACTTTGGTGTAACCTGTAGACATGAGCTGCAGCATCCAGCCTGTGCTGCCCACCCATAAAATGCTTCATGTTTTTTTGGGGGTTGTTATTCCCCAGGGAAACTAACAGAGCCTGGCCAGGCTGCCGGACTCCTCCCAGGTTTGCTCACCCTCCCGTCTGGAAGCAGCTTTTCCTTCCTCCGAATCTCATTTTGCCTGAATTCTCCAGCTGAGAAATACAAATGATTGCTGTTCAGGTTTGTCTGGGGAGAAAACACCGATAATGAGTGACGGGGAGACTGTGGGTTTTATCTTTGTCGAGATGTCAGCAATGCAAATTGCATCAGTAAAGAGAATGAAAGCAAAGAGCAGGCTGTCAAAAGCCTGGTTGGAGAGGAAGTTAGCACGGGGCTGGGACAATACAGTGTCCTCAAAGCATGCTAGGCCAGGTACTTGCTGCCTTTATGCAGGGGCCCTTGAAGTGCCTGGAGGCACAAATTAACTCAGTGTCTTTTGAAGGAGGCACGTTTTATAGGTGGGAAACTGGAGGAGAAAGGACAATGCTTCCTGTTGTAAGGCAAGGAGTTAGCGGGAGGCTGGGACTGAGATCGTGTCCACCCTCCTGCTGCCAGCAGTGGTCCTTGTCCCCATCATTGGTCCTCATCCCCATCGTGGTAGCTGTGTGGGCAGAGGTGTCCTGGATCAGGGCTCTGCTCTTGCTCTGATAGCAACATCCTTTCTCGTCTCAGGCTCTCCTTCAGATCATCTAACACCATCTTATTATCTTCCTGAGAATTCCTCCTTCCTTCGGAGGAGAAGGCGTCAGTCCCCCTCTCCCTCCCTCCCTGCCCTCCCCTGCCCGTTTAGGCTCCTTTGATCTCTTTTGTAAGGTTCTCACACAAGAAAGTTTCCATTTTCTCTTCAGATCCTAGCTCAGCCATTTGAATATTGCTTTGTGCTGGGCTGCGAATCAAAGTCTCCCGGGGGGAGTTGTGGAAGGGCTGATGGTGGCTGGAGCAGAGGGTTTGCGTGCGTGTGGTGCAAGGGAAGAGCAAGCTTCAGTGGCAAGGGAAAAAAAACCAAAACAAAAACCAAACTATATATCAAAGCACTTTCTCTCTACCTCCTGTGCAATCTTTTGTGCTTTATTATGTGTTTGGTGTCATAACAAACTGATGGGCTGTGAATGGCCAGATGGTCACCAGTGTTCTCCACTCCACGCTTCATTTCCTCCTGAAAGCTATGCAGAAAAATGAGATCCCATCTCATAAATGAGTGCCCATCTTAAGGACATGCTTTCGAAGGCTCTGCTGACAATGACTGCCTTGTTTGCTTTGCTTTCTGCTGCGGGACCGGGCAGCGCTCCTTGATCCAGCAGATCCAGCCACCACTGTGTTTCCTGATGTTTCTTCCATCAGTCCTGCTCGCTGGCATTGGAAGCCTTGACTGTGGGGTTGAATTCAGCAGCAGATGTGTTGTGGTTGCTGTGTTTGAGGCTCAGCTCTCTGGTACTTGGTTTGTCCTTGAGTTTAGCCCTAAATTCCTGTGCAAAACAGCTTTGGCACCTGTTACACGGGTCAGTGTGCCCCATGGAGCAATCCCCTTCCTGCTCAAGTGCTCTTTTTCCTTCTCAAGAAAAGCCACAGGGACAGATGGGCACTCACATCTTGTCCATGAGGATGCTGGAGAGTGCTGAGGTGCCTGAGCACAGTTAAGGCTACTGAAGCACTTTGCTAGAGATTCTGGGGGCACCATGACCATGTGATCTTCATCAAGACCTTCATGGAGAGCTGAGGGACACCTCCTCTCACTGCCTGCAATGGCCTCTTGGCATGTGGGGTGGAAGGGGGAAAGGTGTTGAGGCCCCGAAGCCTCTGTGCAGGGTGAGATGAGCACTGACAAGGTGCTCTGTTAATTATGACTGACAAGGGGGTGGAGGGCTGGCAGCAGGCAGGGCTTGGCTGAAGACAGAGCTTTGCTTCTGGTCCTTCCCCTCTAACCCAGGGCTGGGGATGGCAAACTCTTGGTCCCTGTTGAAATAATTTGAAAAGGTCTGGGAGAGGACCTGGGGGGTAGGAGGGCAGAGGTTCTGCTGTCCAGAAAAGGAGCCATTTGCCACAGATCATGCACCAGCTTCCATCTCAGGGCATCCTGCCTGGAGACACACCGGGTTGGTGCACCCTGCTCTGGGGTAGCAGAGGAGCATCTCCTTGCAGCAATGTCTGTCCTCATATTGAGACCCTGGCAGCATCTGAACCATGAGCTTTCTCTGCTGCTGTTGAAAGACAGTGGCAGGGACAAGGAGCTTTTTAACTCCGTGGGTTTCTGCTGCGGGTTGGACTTTTCTTCCACTAAAGCTTCAGGCTGCTGCTCCTTTTGCATCAAAAAGAGGAGGGTGAGACTGGAACAAGACAGCAAATCCTGGAGGAAGCCAGAAGCAGCAGGAACAGCAGAAGGACATCCCACGTCTTGCAGTAAGGGATGTCACCAAGCAGGGACAGCTCAGCACAGCAGAGGTGGAAGCTGTCGAAGGAGTGGTCGCCTGCTCCTCTGGAGAGCTTAAGCCAAGTTAAACAGGGGCTGGGGTTTTATCTGGTTGTATTGAGTGAAACAGTGAAGAGGAGGGACTGCAGAGGGGAGTGGGGACACAAGGAACCCAAGGAGCTGCTGTCCCAAAGAGCTGGCGCCCAGCCAGCGGCTGCAGCTGCGCTCGGCACCCCTGAGCCACGCGCGACACCGCTCCAATTAGTCCCTCTTGACACAGGCTAATAAGAGAGGCCAAGGAGAGCTGGCGATTCCAGAGGGCTCATGCTGGATGCTGCTTTTCCATATTTAAACTTTGCTTCTGCAGGAATGAACGGCGGGTTTGAGACCTGGTGAAGCTGGGGGCTGCGGGGGAGGCAGAGGCAGAGCCAAGTGGTGGGATCTTTAATGAAGCTGCAGAGGGGAGCTGGAAGATGGCTCTGCCCTTCCTTGGCATGGGGGTTTTGCACCTGGGAGTACCATGGGGAGGACTCAGGAGCACGTATGAAAGCAGGGAGGTGTGCAGCCACTTGCAGAATAATTGCTCCTGCAAAACTGAGCAGGCACAAAGCAGGAGGTGGGAGGTTAAAGAAGTCTGTGCACCACAAAGGGGCCATTCGCTGCAGGGAAGAGGGGCTTTTCTTCCTGCTTATCCATGCTTCCAACTTTTATTGAACCCATCCTGAATTTTATTTTAATTTATAAGGCTCAGGGGGATGGGGGGAATGTATGAAGGAAAAAGAAGGATAAGGGATCGATTGGCACCTGGGGAAGTTTAGCAGGAGATTCTGGAAATATGTGTCCATTAGGTTGCTGAAATCAGGTTCATTAGTAGACCTGAGCGCTGACAGAAGTGGCCCGACCATAAACCCTGCCAGTGGACACCCCCCTGCTGCTCCCATCCGTCAGCCCTGCCATGCTCTGCTTCCTTTTGATTAGTAAAAAATGAAAGTGGGGGCTTCTCTGAGGTGGACAGACTCTTCAGTGAATTTCTATGTCTTTCTGCTTGCAGGCTTTAAAACGTCCTTGGCACACGGTGATGCTCCTCCTTTGCCTGCACCCAGCTGGGGAAGAGCTTTATCACCTTGTGCTGCTGCAGCAGCAAACCCTGAGGGTTTTTTTGGCCATGACCCACAAGGCTCAGCTCTTGTGTGGCTGCTCCCACCTGCGGCCTGGTCACCTCTCAACACACTTTGCTGGATTGATTTGCTCCCTTCTCCAACCCCACCATCTCTGCTGGTGGCAAAACCCACCAGCCCCATGCTTGGAAAATGCCAGCAAGTAGCACTGAGAGTATGTCCCTGGATAAACTTGCTTTTGTTGGGAAAATTTAACACCAGCCATCCATGATGTGACACTAGTCGTTAAATTCATTACTGGCCCCTGGCTCTCATCTGTTTGTCTTCATTGCAGCTGCTGCTGGTTCCACCTGATTTTAGGTTTCAGCAGCAACTTAGAGTATATTTATCACTTTGCCCTTTGAAGCGTAACTGCTTGAATAAACTCACCTATTTGGCAGTGTTTTTCAGGCCCTGCTTGGGGTAGATGGATGTGCTGTTTCATTCTGATAAATTATTTTAAATCTATTTTGAGTTGCTGAATGAGGGGACATCAGTTTCTGTTTAAAAATATTATTGTTAAAGGTGAAAATATTTGGTTACCAGGTGAGCAGCAGTGGGAGGGATGGTGGAGTGATCTGCCAGGCTTGGCAGGACCCCAAGGTTCCCAAACTGCAGATCTGGGGTAAAAATGGGCCCTCATCTTCTGCTACCAGAAGAATCTGCAGCAACTCTGTTATTTACTGGGGAAAGAGCAGCCTGCCAGGTTGCTGAGTGCACATCCATCCAGTTCTTTCCCTCTGCAAGCAGTTTGCTAAGGCCACATGGGTCCTCTGGGTAAAGCCAGGGTGATGAAACAGCAGATCCCCTCAAATGCAAAGTACTAAAGTTCCACCTGGAGTGGCAGCCTTCCTTTCTCACTGCTCTCTGAACAGGCAATATGGGCTGATTTTTCACGTTTCCATAGCAGAGGGCTCATTCTTGCCAGGGTGGTGGCCCTGTGTGGTGCCACATGCCACAAAGGGTTACACCTGCTTTCTGTGTTGTGTGGTGCACATGGCCAGAGACTGCTGACCTTCCGGCCTGGGCTGTGCGTTGGCCAAGTATCCTGGTGAAGACCAAGCTACAAGGTTGTTCTTTGTACCAGGGTAGAGTGGGATCATCATGGCTTTTCTCATCCTGCTTCTCCTTCCTCCTTGCAGCCCCTGCAGAGTTTGTGCAGCATCCCCAATCGATATCCAGGCCTGCAGGGACAACTGCCATCTTCACATGTGTAGCCCAGGGTGAACCACCACCACAGATCACTTGGCTGAGGAATGGGCAGATACTGGAGACCAGCGACCACATTAAGCTGAAGAATAACAACAGGTAAGTCCTCATGTGCTGGCTGCTGGCACTGCAACGTGGGGTAGGGCTATTCCCCAGGGTCAATCTGGAGTTACCACGCATGGAGGACTGTCATCACCTGCCTGATGGTCCAGAAATAGCTGTCCCTGCAGGTGTCATTGCTGAGCAAAGAGCAATTTAGCTCACACAGGCTTTGGCTTTTGTGCAGATGGTGGATTTGAGGCAGATGTTTTGTTAAGTTTCTATGTAATAGGCCTTTTTATTTCCAGGTTTGAGGCTTTTTTAAAGCTTTGCTGTATGAAGGATGGAAGGGTGTATATTGCAATAGGATAAGGTGTAAGTTGTAGTAAAATCTTCTCAGTGGAGGTTTTCTCTGAGCTGGAAGTTTTTGGAGCTTCGGGGAACTTTGTGTGTGCACAGACAGATGCCACTTGATCCAGGCTCATGGTTTTCTAGTTCATTGCATGGGTTTCTGTTCATGTCTGTCCTTACAACAGAAACGGGAGAAGGAAAATTTCTTTGACCAAGAAGCGGAGTCAGAAGTGACCAAAGAATTTACAAGTGATCATTCATCCCATGACAGGGCTTACCCTGAGTCCAGCTCTGTATCCTCCTCCACATGCCTTGCCTATAAAATCCTTTCTCTTCGCTATCTGAGGAATGTGAAAGTAGGGTCTGTGGTCATGTTCATATCTTCTGGCCAGGTCCTGGAGCTGCGCTGCATGTGATGTGAACTGCGCCTTCTTGGCCAACATCTCTGTAGTGGTTTTCTTGTGGTGATCATGTAGTGCAATTTAGTGTCCATCTTCTCCACTGTGATCTGAAGGATCAGATTACATCGTTTCTGGCAGAGGCAGGGGGAGCTGAGCCAGTTCCTGAGGCTCAGCTGACATGTGGCATCTTCCCAAGCTATAGTAACATGATTGTAAAGCTGAGCCCTAAGGCCGTCGTACTCAACCACGTTGAACTTTTAGCTTCTTTCGCACTAGTCTTGGTCTGTTCTGACCCTGAGCTTCAGGCAAGTGGCCGTGCCTAGTGGATTCCAAAGCTGTCACTCTGAAAAATGCCCTGGCTGGTACAGCAAAGCTGGGTTCTCTGAATTGGAGGAAACAGATCAACGACTGGGTTTTTTTCTTTTTCTGAGCTTTTTCAAGTTGTCCTTTGTTTCATTCTCCTGGGCATGACTAAGTGCTGTAACCCACTTAGTTCCAGGCAGAATCAGTTTGTGATTATGCCTTGGATTTACCAGCCTATTGCAGTTGAAAAATATTTGTCTGTGTAAAGATGAATCTCGAATCTACCAGTAATGAAGCTACTAAACTGCACTATGAGCTTTTTAATTAGATTACATGGTTTCCTAGAAAATTCATTTGGATTAAAACTCTGCTTAATATGGCAATAAAGGTCTGAATGCCCCCAAAGGGATTTTTAGAACAAAAAAAAAGAGTAAGTCATCCCAAATCATATAATGTGCTAATTGATTGCAAAATGTATAATGATGAGCAACTTTGTTCTGGTAAACGAACAAGGTCCGGACCTGCAGAGCACCATGTGTTTGAGATGCTGCTCTGCTCCAGTGAGCTCTGCAAGAGCAGGCTCTGCTTGAGGCCCACCACTCCCTTTTGCACAAACTAAAGGCTGGTGGGGAGATTTGTCCATCAAACCATCTCTTCACAAGTTGTGAAGGGTCCTTTGGAATCTAAGTCACCCCACACTGTTGCTCATACACAATAACTGCAAATCCAGGGAGAGCAAAGCCTCTAGGTCAGGGCACCTCAGAAACCCATCATCGTTGAGGACAGCATCCTCAGGACTGGATTCCCTGGAGGTTGGATGATCACTTACTGAGCAACTTCTAGCCTGTCAGCACAGCCAAATAGGCCTCACAGGCTGTGTCCTGTGAATAAATACCTCTCCCCTCCTGGTCCCGCCGATGTGGATTCTCATTGCCTGATGTGTTGATGGTTTCTGGGCACATAAGCATTAAAGATCAGCCTTCTGCTGTGCCCTCTCCAGAGGTGGTGGGGATGTTTTGAAAATGCCAGCTGTGTGGGAACAAAATAGCCAATCGATGATTAGCAAAAATCAAAAGCAATTCTGGGATAATGGGTAATTGTTAATGAAAAATGCATGAAGACTCAGGCGGAGAGAATTGTGGGCTTTTCCATTAAAACCTGTGAATAAAATCTCACTGAAGGAGCTGATGATGGGGCTGCCTTAGCCTTACCCTGCAGTCCCTGGGTTGGGGATGGAGCCAATAGCTGCTGGGGTGATGCTGTACTGGACTTAGATGGAGAAGCTGACAGAGACTTCTTGACTCTGGTGGAGCCATTCCTGTGTCCTGCAGCTGCAGAATCTGTTCCTCTCTGTTGATCAAAGGTGACATTTTGTCCATATTGGTGTGGGGTCATTCAGATTAATCACAACCCAAATGCTTGAAAGGTGGAATGGGCATTTCCAGCAAAATTCCCACTCTGCTTAGCCAGCCCAGTCCAAAAGCAAGTGCACTGCTGCAGGAGGAAGGGGTGGCTACTGGCCAAGTTAATTGTGGGCTTGTGTACAATCATACTTTCTTGGTTATTACTTCAAAATTTACAAGGAAGCATGAAATAGCACCTGAATTACTGCCCTGAAAGGTTTATTGCTTTTCTTGCTTTGAGCCAATCAGGTTCAGGGGAGTAATTTTCACCTAGTGTATATCACACTATGGGGTTTATATTGCCCTAATAGCAAGGAACAAAGGCAGACCTCTTCAGAGAAGGCAAGCTCTAAATATTGATTTTCCAAGATTATTTTATTTACAAAATGGTAATTAAGGGACTTCATTTGCTGCACCAGGAAAAGGCTTCGTTAGAGCCTGGGCTCAGGTGGCGTTTGCTCTCCTCAGTGACCTTTGCTTATGAACTGTCTCCTTTTAAAATTCTTCCTCAGTGGCTTTCACTTGTGTTAGTGCTCTGAGAATGACTCACTTTAAGGGCCATGAATGCTCAAGGTTCATCAGAGAAAATATTCCTTCATAAATAAATTGCAGGACAACATTGCTTTCCTTACACTTGTCTTGTTGCCTAATCCTGATGCAAGCACTTGGGACAGGACAACCCTTTTGGTACTAAACCCAGGGAAACTACAGCCTGTCATTCACAAGGTGGCTTTCTTCTGTAAAACCCATGTTAGCTGGGAGCAGAGAGCTGCAGGGTTTGTACATCCTGTTGTGCACACACTCTACAAACTCTTGAATTTGTAGGGATTGAGAGAGGACAGGCAAGCCTGCAGGTTATTTATGGAATGGGTTTGAGGACTGTTGGTGACTATGGGAAGGGCAGTGTAAAGCAAATCATATTTCAGTTCCCAGAAGCATGACAAATAAGTACATGGAGGACTGGGATGTGAACCAGCTGCTCCTGATTTAAGAATAATTTATGGGTTTCACTTTGGAAGACACATGGAAATGGCCTTTGCAGGGAGGGTCTCTGCACGAGCACCCAAAGCCCTGCTGAGCCATAGGGCATCAGCATGATCCCTCCTTCTCAGCACCAAGCAGGGATCCTGTGCTGGGACCACACAGGTGTATCCCACAAAAGGGACCTGCAGCAGCCTCAGAACAGCTAACAGTGATGGGTTGCAGTCTCACCTCGGTAGCTGTGATATTTGGCTACCGAGGTGTCATTTTCCTCTGCTTGCTGCTCTGCTGAGCTCTCTTGAACTACATCACTGATTCTGGGCATTAATTGTTTCTTGCAACTGTTGCATACAGCAAAATATATCTGCAGAGAACGGTTCTCACGCTGGAGCTTTTGAGGCAGGACCAAGCCCATCATGAGGCAGCCTAAAACCACCCTCTCCTGGATTAGTCTTAGTCTTTCTCCTTTCCAACACCTATCCCTTATGCTGGGAAAAAGGTTTGAGGGACTTTCCATTTAGCAGCAGATATTTCTCCCACCTGCCTACATTAGCATCCTACCCACATAGGCATCTTCCTTCCTGAGATGTTTTGTTCTTCCCTGAGGTCCTGCACATGTAAAGGCTTTTCTGCTCCCTTCATGGGACAGAATGTGTTAAGCCTGTGAGGCAGCCAAGGAGTTCACCAGCTAACCAGCAAGTCCTGTAATACAGAGTAGTCAGCTCTATAGGGGGCTGGGGATGATCTGCAGTGTCCCTCCTTGCAGATGAGTGTGACTCTCCAAGCTTTGCGCCTTATTCTCAGCCTGTGTGAGGCAACCTTCAAACATAGGACATTTCTTCAAAGCTTCCACCAACCAGCACTGGAGGGAAAAAGCTCCTTTCCAGCATGGCATGGGAAGTTTGTTTGGTGCAATGTGGCACAGGGTGACCTGTAAAAGAATCACAGAATCAGGTTGGAAAAGACCTTGAAGATCATGAAGTCATCTAACAAATGGAAGCAGAGCAGGGCATGGAGACAGGGTGTCTGAACTGTGGCTCTGGTGGCTTTCTGGAGCTGCCAGCACTCAGTGTTCTCCATGCTAGTCAGGGCCCTCTCGCTGCATGAATTTCCTCACACTCCCTCTTTTGTGGGCCCGTGTCTGTGCAGGCTGGTGTCCTTGCGGATGGGCCCCTCTTCTTCTTTGTGCTACTGAATCAATGAAGAGGTTTCCTTCAGTTCTCAGACTTTTTCAGAGGAGCCTTTGGAAACCTGATCTCCGGTCACCGGCCCAGACCCCTGACCCGAGTCAGATCAGTCATCCTGATTGCCCATGAAGGAGGAGACAGCTTGGGAATACGGCAGCCTCGGAGCGGCGGAGGCCTCTCGCTCCAGCCCAGCCGGGTGTGAAGCTGCAGCAGCTCCTCTCCCCACTTCCATCACTGCCTGTCAGGGCTTTGTGCAGGGAGATGTGATGGAGCCCTGGGCTGGCCGAGCGCCTCTGGCGACGGGCAGGGAGTCTCTGGCATCTCGCCCTGGCTGCTGCGCTCGCGGCGCTGCCGGTCTGGCACCCGCGGGAAAGTTTCCCAACAGCAGATGTCCCAAAGTGACAGATTTTTTTTTTTCATTTTTTTTTTTTCTCCTTGTTGATAGGAAGACAGAAAAGGACTCTGCATATTTCAGATGGTTGAGGCGCAGAGACGCTCTGTGCCTCCCTGCATGGCAACTACATGTTTTGCTTTTGTTCGAGCGTCCTTAGGGAAAAAAAAATAATAAAAAGCAAACAAAAAGCAAACAATTAGCCAAATCTGGGAAAGCAGGATCTGCTGCTGGCCCGAGTGCTGACCCTGCTGCACCACATCCTCTGCATCTCCTGATGTGGTGGGCAAAAGCAGGGAGAGTTTGTCAATGGTGAGGATGAAAGTGGAAGCACAGCAGAGGTATCAGCTGGGGTGATGCTGGCATGGGTAGGGGATTCACTGCCAGCTCCTGCCCTCCTCCTTGCAGCTACAGCAAGCTTCAGAGCTCATGCCAGGGCTGGCAGGAACCTTTAGGGGTCTGCCTGTGGGTGTTAGAGGGACCAACAGAGAGAGAAAACCCTTTATCTTGTTAAACTGGTGTTTAGCTGCTGGGCATTAGGCTTGCCAGCTTCTCCACACTCAGTTTCTGCTCCTTACCCAGGTTTATAGACATAGCTGAAAATCCTGTTGCTTTGATACTGTCCCTCATGACATCCTGGTCTCAAAATTGGAAGGATATGGATTTGATGGATGGAGCACTTGGTGGATAAGGAATTGGCTGGATGGTCACACTCAGAGAGTAGTGATCAATGGCTCAATGTCCAGATGGAGACCAGTGACAAAGACCAAGTGCAAGGTCCTGCACCTGGGTTGGGGCAATCCCAAGCACAAATACAGGTTGGGCAGAGGGTGGATTGAGAACAGCCTTGAGGAGAAGGACCTGGGGATGTTGGTTGATGAAAAGCTCAACGTTAGCCAGCAATGTGCGCTTGCAGCCCAGAAATCAACCATGTCCCGTGCTGCCTCAAAAGCAGTGTGGTCAGTAGGTCAAGAGAGTTGATTCTGCCTCCCTACTCTGCACATCTGAGATGTGGGAACCTGGAGTACTGTGTCCAGTTCTGGAGCCCCCAACACAAGAAGGACATAGAGCTCTTGGAGTGAGTCTAGAGGAGGGCCATGAAGGTGATCAGAGGGGTGGAGCATCTGCTATGAAGACGGGCTGAATTGGGGCTGTTCAGCCTGAAGAAGGGACGGTCCTGAGAAGAACTCAAAGCAGTCTTCCAGTACCTGAAGGGGCCACAGGAAAGCCAGAGAGGGACACTTTGCCATGGTGTGTAGTGACAGGATGAGGGGTAATGGAAGGGTGGAAGAGGGTAGATTTAGGTTGGTCATGGCAAAGAAATTTTTTAGTGTAAGGGTGGTGAGACACTGGAACAGGCTGCCCAGGGAGGTTTTGGAAGCCCCATCCCTGGAAGTGTTCAAGGCCATGTTGGATGGGGCTTGGAACAACCTGGTTGTCACCGTTTGACTCAGGTCCGACAACAATGCTCTCGATCCCCCCTCCCCCCAACCCAGGTAGGGAAGGAGAGAGAAAAAGAGAGAGACTTGGCTGGATTGAAAACTAAACTACACAGCTTTAATTAAAACACTAATGAATCATACAAGAAAATATATACAATTATATACAGATAGATTCAGGTGTAGGCAAAAGCCTCTCACCACCCCCCACCCTGATGAACAGAGTCCTCCCTGGACACCGGCCATGGACGGAAGAGAAGGGGAGAAGAAGAAGGAAGGAAGTTGTCTTCTGTGATCTCTGACCTTCCTCTGAGCTTACATAGATATATGGAATGGAATATCTTTGGCCAATTTTGCTGTCCATCTAACTCAGCCTCCTACGGGGGGGTCACAGATCTCCCCATAGTGTCTGAGCTGGCAGAGTGCAGGTGCGGCCTTGAAGCCTCAGTAGTTAGAAAAACATTCCACTGTCTTATCAGCCTAGCAGAACATACTGTTGCTAGTTACAAGAAAGCTTACTGAAGGAAAAAAAATCAGTAAAAAGAAAAATTGGCTTCATCCTGGCTCAAACCAGGACACTGGTCTAGTGGGAGATGTCTCTGCCTATGCAGAGGGGGTTGGAACCAGGTGATCTTTAAGGTCCCTTCCAACACAAACCATTCTATGATGCAATGATTCTATGATCTTTTCCTCTCTTCTTGTAAAGCAAAGCTTGTAACTTAAAGGCATCGGAGTATAAATACTCCTTGCTCTTGGGTTGCTTTGTGCTTAGGAAGTTTAACACTGCTCTGGACATGTGTGTCAGCCTGGCCTGCCTCCTCCTGCCTGCCCAGATGTGCAGCAGCAGCCTGGAAATAATGCCTGCATCCAGGGGGCAGAAGGAAGCGATGTGGCTCTTTCCACACATCTGCTCAGTGCAGAGCTGCAAGGACAGCTTTTGGACAGGCTGATCCTGCCTGCTGCCATCTGTCCTCACAGGAATCAGCCCATGTTGACACAGTTGAGCCCCACATCGGGTCCTTCCTCCCCACACCCCCTCCCAGCTCTGCCTTTCTCCTTCCATTTAATCAGATATGTTGAGCCCATGGCTATGAGAGGAGCTTAGGGCTGATGCTCTAAAATCACCATATCAGCTGAAACCATCACATTTGATATTCCATTTACAATGTTTCCAAGGAAACAAAGGCACAGGACATAAATAGATGACTGCTAAACATTTGCTCACTCACCATGGCCTGATAGTTTGCAAGGCAGAAATATGAATGTTAAATCAACAACAATAATAAATTTTAATATAGGAAGACAAATATTTTGCTGCAATCAGAAGAAGCATTTTTCCTGACATATAGGCAGGCAGTGGCAGGTTATTTATCATTTTCACTTTCCTTGCATGATTTTTCATTTCCATAAAGGGCAGCTTTGATTATGACTCCCCAAAAGCTGTGACGTGCCCCTTGCATCAGCAAAGGGGCTTGGGGCTGTACAGTCAAGTCCCAAGTCCACCCAGAATTCACCACAGGAGGAGAAAATAATTTATTTCTCACTAGCAGCAAGCAGTGGATCGGGACTTTGTTAAGTTTAGGTCATTTCTTATGGAAAAGGAGCAACCAAAAAACTCTTGTGAGCTTTGGTGTAAGCAACAGGATTGTGCTGAAGCTTGGGGGTGTTGTGGTATCCCAAATGTTCATGCCAAGCCAGAATCAAACCCTGGTTCAAATGAACTGGATAGGACTGGAAATACAGTCTGGATGTACAAATAGGAATTAATCCATATGGGTGATGCTCTAAAATGGAGTCTGAGGCAGCAGTGAGGGGCGTTTGCTTCAGTGCTGTGGGGTTGTATCCTGTAGTCTGTCTGTTGGACTGGTCAATCCCCATGATTGGCAGTAACAAATACAATTGCGCTGCCACTTACTGTGGTGTCAGAGTTGTCACCAGGTCTAGGTGGGCCAGTCTGGGCCTCTACTGCACCTCTATTGCTGAAATTGTCCCCAAGACAGAGATTATCTGTCCAGGATTGGGTTCCAGGGAACAATGCATCCACCTCTTGGTTTTTCCCTTCACCAAAAGCACCGGCCCACAGCTTTATGGAAGCTTTTGGTGGAAACAGGCATGTGGGATGCTCTGCCAGCAGAGCCAGCCTGGGGGCCACGGTGGGGCTTGAGAGGAAGGACTTCCACTCAGATGCTTGTCCCTCTGGTGTCCCCACACAGCACTCTCTCCATCTATGGGATCAACCAGGCAGATGAAGCCATCTACCAGTGCATTGCCGAGAACAGTGCCGGCTCCACGCAGGCCAGCGCCCGCCTGACGGTCCTGTGGGCAGATGGGCTGCCCGGGCCTCCCCAGAGCGTGAAGGCTGAGACAGTCTCTGCGACCACCATCCAGGTGTCTTGGAAAGAACCTCTGCAGAACACCAAGGAGATCATTGGCTATGTGCTGCACATCCGGAAAGCCGCAGGTACGGTGATCTACCCACTGCCCAGAGCATCCCCAGCCTTCCCTTAAGGCAGCACTTCAGGTCTGCACTGCAGTAGTCAGTGCTGCTACCCATGTTCTCCATCATCTCCATGACTCTGAAAGACAGAGATGAGGAAGTAAATACCAAGATAGGGGGGAAGGTGAAGCCATGGAGTCAAATCTAGCCACCTACCTCAGTCTCTGGCAAAGCACCCAGAAATGTAGGCAGATACAGGCCTACACGAGGGACTAAAATGACCACTTTTAACATTTGTTCAGTCTCTTGATCTCTTGTAAAATTGAACGCTGCTCTGTTTTTGCCTTCAGATCCAGTAGAGATGGAGTATCAGGAGGCTGTCAGCAAGAGCACCTTCCAGCAGCTAGTGACAGATTTAGAGCCCTCGACCAGCTATAGCTTTTATATCAAGGCCTACACCTCCCGGGGGGCCAGCAAAGCCTCCGAAGTCACCGTGGTGAGCACGCTGGGAGAAGGTAAGGAACACTTTGTGCTTGGGCCATCACGTGCTGAAAGCCCCTGTGTGCAGCAGCAGTGCTGGGCACCCCAATGCCCTGGCACGTACCTGGGGTGCTGCTACTCCTTGTTCCCTCTCCTCATACTCTGGGATACTGTGTGGAACTCTCTTGTACCGTTATGCTGGGGTTGGCTGGTTGTTGTTGTGAGAGGTGTTGCCTCTCATGTTGTAGCAGGGGCTGAGTGTAAGTCTGGCTGGTCTTGTGCATTGCAGCTGCCCTGGGCTTTTCCTAAATGTTTTTTCCTGCTTACTAAATGCAGCTAGTGACAGATTTAGAGCCCTCGACCAGCTATAGCTTTTATATCAAGGCCTACACCTCCCGGGGGGCCAGCAAAGCCTCCGAAGTCACCGTGGTGAGCACGCTGGGAGAAGGTAAGGAACACTTTGTGCTTGGGCCATCACGTGCTGAAAGCCCCTGTGTGCAGCAGCAGTGCTGGGCACCCCAATGCCCTGGCACGTACCTGGGGTGCTGCTACTCCTTGTTCCCTCTCCTCATACTCTGGGATACTGTGTGGAACTCTCTTGTACCGTTATGCTGGGGTTGGCTGGTTGTTGTTGTTGTGAGAGGTGTTGCCTCTCATGTTGTAGCAGGGGCTGAGTGTAAGTCTGGCTGGTCTTGTGCATTGCAGCTGCCCTGGGCTTTTCCTAAATGTTTTTTCCTGCTTACTAAATGCAAATCTGCTCAAGTAGCGTCTCAGAACTCACAGCTCTTGCTTGACGGGTACCACCCTTTTTAGAATTTGTTTTTTTCCTACTTTACCTCAGAGAAATCACACGAGCTGGCCTGGCCTGGCCTACAAGTCCCTGCCTTGGAGCAGCCTTCTGTTTCAGTAGGAAGTTAAGGAAATTTCCAAGGCTTTTTCCCTGACTTGGCCTCCTAGATGTGGCCACCAGCTTCCCCACTAAGAAAGGGGGTGGTCTAATGCAGGAGCCTCACAGACAGGCACCAAACAGAAACCCTAGCCCCAGTGTGATCTGCCAGTTGGCATTTTGGGAATGTTTTCCTAGAGACTCCTGTACCTCTCCGGCACCTACAAATCCCGACTTATCTCCCATACAGAGGAATAATTCTTGGGAGCATTGCATCCTTCTGATGAACACTCAGTAATAATGAGTTTGCAGCAGAGGGCTTTGGGTGCGAGGACTTTATTTGGGATCAGATGAAATAGTTCTCAGTCCATTGTCAGCCTGCGCAGATGTCTACTACAGCACTTCAGCAACACCGCCAATAAATCCTCAGCCTGCTGGGTTGTTACCCTGCAAGTTTATTTTCCTTGATACTCTGCAGGGAATTGGTCATCCTTGGAGTTTGTTTTTCCTTCCAATTTAGAGACAGAAGGTTGAACTGAGGCAGAACTTAAAACTCCTTGACCTGATGCTCTGAGTTCAGCTACTGGAGCCAGAAGCCGGCCATGCTTCATGGGCCGTGGTGTTTCTGCAGAAGTCTGGGTCAAGCTAGAGAGGACTTTTTGTCATTATAACCTTCAATCACAACAGGAATAGTTAGGTATCTGGTGATAGGATCATAAATTTCCTGGCTCTCTGCAGTTTCAAGGCATCACTGTCCTGCTTTACTATCTTTTTAAAAAAGCTTGTCCTGTGTAACAAAGCTTCAGCAATTGACTTCACGTCAATTGACAAGCTGGCCTGGTTAATATCACTCAAGCCCAGTTTGCATTTTCCTTGTAGAAAGATAAAAAGAGGTGTCAAAGCCCCAGTTCTGGCTTGGTTTGTTTGCTTTGCTTCACTTGGGTGCCTGTTGCTTCTACTTCTGGTCAGGGAGCCAGCATCCAGTGGCTTTTGTCACCCCATTAAGGTTTTGCTGCAGATTTGCCTCTTCTCACAGCCAAGCTGTTTCACCCCGTGCCTTCCTGAGGTGCACGGCAGAGCTGTGACTGCTCTGGGCTTGGGCAAGCCCTGGATCTGAGCCTTGGACAGGGATAGGATTTCCCCAACACGCTGTGTCTTGGCTCAGTGCAATGCCTGTGAGACGTGCACAGAGACGCGTGAAGCCCTGTGGTGGCAGGACACCCTGTGTCACCATGCTGCCATGTCCTGCCTTTCTGGGAAAGGACGTGGTGAGTGAATCCAGCCCCCAGGGATGGCTCAGGGAGTGTGGGCAGTGTTTTCCAGAGTGGTGCTGCCAGCTGGAGACTGGTCTGAGTGACGTGTTACACTGGTGCTGCCTGCAGTAGGAGCACGGTGGTGATGCGGAGGAGCAGGGATGCTTTCAGCTTCCAGGGGCAGCAACATGCTGAGAGAGCTTGGCTGAAGCTTCCAAAGCTTTCCGAAAGTGTGATGCTCCTTCCTTTGGCTCATTTTGGATGCAAAGTAGAAGGGAAAACGCCAAGGAGAAACTACCCAAGTGACCCAAGTGACACTACCTCGTGTCCTCCATAAACCTCTCATGAGAATGGTCCTCCCATCTCCTCCCTGTCGTTCTCCTTTACGCCGTTTTCACAACTGCTGTGGTGTCGTAAACCTCCAACTCTCTCTGCTTCACTAAGCAGCACACACTCCTTGTTCTTTTCTTTTAATGCTTTTTAGGGTTTTCTCCAGGACTTTTTGACATTTCTCTAGGATGAAGACTGTTCCTTTAGTCACCTTCGGCTAAAGACGCCTTCAAGAAGAAAGTTGAAATGACCTGGGGAAAATTCCAAACAGCACGGAAGAGGAAAACAAGTATCCCAGCCCTTAGCATGAGGGAGATGCCTCACTTATAGTAGATTTCATTTTATGTCTTATATATACTTCTGTGAAGCACCTATATGCTGGTGTGTGTAGATATATTTACACACACCCACAGAGATATATTCCATCTGTATACACTGATTTGTGTAATAACATGATAACCACGTGCATTCTGCGAGTGCATAAATATAATCAATATTATACATATCTATATATACTCCAAGTTTAAATAAATACTATATATTCCATACTTTGAAGGAGAGAGATTCTTGTGGTTTTTATGAAATGTAAGGCTCTGCAACCAGAAAATAAAGCCAGCTCTTCACAAATCAGGATGGCCAACCTCAGTGTTTCTTTGTCCAGGGGATAATGTGATTTCCCTTTCTGTGGCATTTTCACCCATGATTTGGAAAATGATGCTTTAAGCAGGAGTCCAGCTTCTCAGAGGGGGGATCCAGATAATTCCTGATTTTGCCCTAGAGGGAACTGGGAGACTTAGGAAAAAAAAAAGAGTATTTAATTGGATTGCAAAAACATGCAGCCTTGGGGAGAATGGCACGTTCTGGTATAAATAGAATTTACTCTGTGCTTTGCATCCAGAAACTGCAAAGTGCAGCCTTTCCATCAATGAAGTCAGAATAAATCCTAGCACTTCAACCCATTTTTTTCCCCTTGGCAGCACTCAGGCAGGATGCAATCTCATTAACCTGACCCAGGACAGCTGCTCTCCCAGTCTTTCTTTCTGAATCCATATGGAGTCGCTCACCAGTCAGCAAGGACTCGTTCTTCTCCCTGTGCTTATTCAGAGGGCATTTGGGAAGAGACAGGAGTGCCCAGACCCTCCTGCTCACCAGGAGAGATGTTTTTCCTTCCCCTAAATCTCCTTGTGGAAAAGCTTGAGCTCTTAGTGCCTGGGAAAAGGCAAACCATTGTGCTGTGTGGTTTTGCTTTTGCTTTTCAATGGAGGCAGTGCCCTTTTTAATTCTCATCAGCCTTAGCTTTGACATGGCCACATTTCATCTGCTTTTCACCATCCCTCCTTGAATAGCTGTGCTGAACTCCCTGCCAAAGGGCAGGTTTGTGCTGCTCATCCTTTAGAGATCCTTTGGGGGAAAAATAAACAAAGCAACCATTAAAAAGAAGGACAAAAAGTAACATTGGTGCAACGCAAGCCCAGCAATCCTTGTATTTGGGAACTTCTGAGCTTGGAATCATCTGGGATTGGAAAAATAGCTCTGCCCCAAAGCCTGGAGGCTGCTGGAGAAGAAGGGCTGTTCTGCTGGATAATTTTGCTGCAGGGTTTAGCTGAGCTCACTGCTTGGTGTAGTGTCCAAAAATCCTTCTGCATCCCAAGGCCAGGTCAGAGCCTGCAGCACGAGGTGCTTGGCACCTCCCACGTGGGGCCAAAAGCTGGGGAACTGATGGGAGCATTTGGCCTGGGAGGGGTGGAAATGAGGTGAAACAAAGACTGGTGACATGTCGTGCTGAGACGCATCTCAAGTTGGTATGAGCAGAGTATGAGACAGGAGAGAGGGGAAGGAAGAGGCTTGAGGAACCTGTGGTCCTGTGTGCCCTAGCACATGTGCAGAACCAGCTTTGGAGTACCCAGATATCTGCATGACAGGAAAAGTGGCTTTGGGTTGCAAATCTTTGCCTCTCAACCCAAGCTGATGGGGCAGGATGGCTCCAGGCAGCTTTTTTGAGGACCTGGGGATTAAATGGCCACCACAGGACACCCTGAGAAGGAGGGCAGGGTTTGGGGACATTGACTGGAGCATAAAGTGTCCTGGTGGATTTTGAATCGGGCCTTGGTGACACTGGGCAGCAGCAGGGACATCTTCCCAGCCAAAACCCCTTAACCAGGCCAGGTAAGTGCCTGCCTACCAAAAGAAGCCAACCAGAGCTGTCCAGGGATCTCAGGCTGCTTGGATATTTAGGGATGTTGATGAAGATGTCCCAGTTCTGTGTCCCAGCACTGAATCCCAGACCTCCCTCCTAAATCTGTCAGGGAGAGCAAACTCCTACATACCCTGCAAGCCAGTGCAGGTACCTGGCAGGCTTTTAAGATGGATGTCTCCTGCTCCATCCCTTCTGGTTCCTTCCTCGCCGGAGGGGATTAATCACTCTGAAAGGTCCTCACTACCCTCAGGCAGGGACAGAGAAATGGAATTTGGGAATGCATTGCCAAAGTGGCTGCATTCCTACCCTGACCTGAGGGAGCTGAGCATCAGATTGCAACCAGAGTGTAAAAGTAGCCTCTTTGCTTGCTGAACGCAGCATAGGAAAGCTGTGGAAACTCCTACAGCTAAGAAGTGTCAAAGCTGTTAAACCAGGATCTGATCTGATTTTTTTCAGTCTCATCCAGCATGTGTGTTTGGCACAAAGGCCGCAGGGAATTTCTCATCATGACGCTGCTGGGGAATTTCTCATCGTGCAGACTAAAAGAAAAGCACAAGCAACCCACTGTCTTTCTCTCTCTGTTTCAGTCCCAGCCATGCCGTCCCTCTTTATCAAAGTCATTAATAGCACGACTGTCCAGGCGACGTGGGAACCCTCCATCAAGCTGGGCCAGCACGAAGGCTTCAAGCTGTATTACCGCAAGGTCCACCTCTCCCAGTACACTGGGCCGGTGCTGCTGCCCAGCAACGTGACAACCTACAACATTACCCATCTGGGTGAGTGTGGTGACAGCTTGATCTGTGTCCCCTCCTGACCCTGGCAGGGTCTGTCATGATGGGAGAGTTTGGATGTGTTGCATAACCACTAAGCAGGCAAAGAAAAGGTCTCGAATTGTGCTAAGGGAGGTTTAGATTGGATATTAGAAGAAACTTCTTCACTGAAAGGGTAATTAAACACTGAACAGGCTGCCCAGGGAGGTGGTTGAATCACCACCCTTGGAGGTATTTATAAGATGTGTAGATGTGGTGCTGAGGAATCTGGTTTAGTACTGGACTTAGTACAGTTAGGTTAATGGTTGCACTTGATGATCATAGAAACACTTAGGTTGGGAAAGACCTTTACGATCATTGAGTCCAACCATTAACTCTACCAAGCCATGGTCTTTTCCAAAGAGAATGATTCTGTGGTTCTAAACAGATGCTGCAGCTCTCCCACAGGATTTTGGGGTGCTTCCCAGTAGCAGGTGTTTGTTTGCAGCATCTTGTGTGTATTTGGTAAATAGGCATCACTCAGGATGAGGTGCAAAGACAGGTAGTGATAGGATGAAGAGGAATGGTTTCAAGCTGAGAGGGGAGATTTAGAAAGAAATTCTTTCTTATGAGGGTGGTGAGACACTGGAATATGTTGCCTGGATAAGCTGTGGCTGCCCCATCCCTGAAAGTGTTCAATGCCACATTAAAGCCACGAACCTGGTTGCTTGAAGCAACCTGGTCTAGCAGAAGGTGTCCCTGCCCATGCAGGGGGGTTGGAACTAGATGGTCCTTAAGGTCCTTTCCAAGCCAAACCATTCCATGATTCTATTATTTGATTCTGTGACTCTTGTGTTCCCATCAAAACAGATGCATCAGTGGTGTATGAAGTGAAGCTCCTTGCCTATAACCAGCATGGGGATGGAAACGCAACGATCCGCTTCGTGTCCTTGAGGGAGACTGTGGAGAGGACAGGTGAGATGGGGCTTTGGTCTTGGTGGTGGTTTCTGAAAACCGCTTTGCAGGAAGGTGGTGAGGCCTCACCCAGACGCATCCTACAGATGCCCACAGCTCGATCCCACATCACATTTTCAGCCACTCATTTGTTTTCAGCATCGCAAATACTTGATTCATTGAAACTCTGCGGGGCTGGGGCCACCTGGTGCTGGTATGGTTGGCTTGTGGCTTGTACTGTCCCTCCTGGCCCTTGATAGCAAGCCAAGACCTCTTTGCAGCAAAGGTCAACCTGGTGACTTTGTCACCAGGGTGTTGGGGGAGAAGACAAACCAAATGTTCCTGTAATTGCCATTTTTGTCTCCTGAGCTCAAGCCAAAGATAAGTCCATGAACACGAACAAATCCCTAAGAGCTGCCATCCTCAAGTGAGGGCATCTCCACTTCCCTGGAGGTCTCCTGGATCTTTTGACCTTCCCTGATGCTGGGAAGGGAGCACAAAGGAAGGTCTTTTAAGCCTTCCAGTTGGAATATCTTTAAGAGACAGTTGTTAGTTCTCTGTGTTGGAGTAACTACTGATCTCACTGGCATCCACCTAGGGAGCTGCTTTGGCAGGCAGGGACCCCTCAAGCCCCTCCCTTCTCTCCTCTTCTCCATACATGGCTCCCAGCATTGCCTAAGCTTCAGCTTTTGCCCTGGTCTTCCCAAAAGCTTGAGGAGCAATAGAGAACCAGAAATGCTGATGTCCCCCTCCCCCTTTCTTCTGGCAGTGCTGAATCCCCCGTGTGACTGCATGAAGGACGAGCAGAACAATAAAACCTCCGCAACCGGCATCATCATCGGGATCCACATCGGTGTCACCTGCATCATATTCTGTGTCCTCTTCCTCATGTTTGGGTACAGAGGAAGGTAGGGGTTCCTCGTGCTGCTCACAGGGGTGTGGTCCCCTCATGTGGGTATCCCTGGGGGAGCGTGCAGGGAGGGGCTGTTTCCCATGCACATCTTGGGATGAGCATCCCGTGGTGGCGTTTCTGGCTAGGAGGCAGAACTCCCGTCTCCCTCCCCCACACACAGATGCAGGGGCTTCTCTGAAGCAGCAGCTTTGCTCACCCTCAAGCTCCATCTCTTTATTTTTCAGGCTGCTGATGTGCAAAAATGTGCAGGAGCAGCTGTCGACCCCACAGGTCCCCAGGAGCCAGCGGATTGTCACCGGCCTCGCCCTGAACGGGGCTGCACGCAGGGACAGGGACGACCGAGACTTGAACGGAAAGCAGCTGGATATGAATGAGCTGGAGAGATTATTCCCAGCATCCCCATCCCAGGAGCAGCAGGATAAGGGAATAACGGTAAGTCCAGCATCACGCCTGGGACATGCAGCTGCGTGTCTCAAGAGCATCAGTGACCTGCCCCTGTCATTGTGCTGTCCCCTTCTCTCTCTCCAGTCGGCTCACAGCTCCCCAGGCCCCCACAGTGACACCCAGATAACCACACTCCCTCTGGACGAGTTCAGCATCATCGAGGAGCACCCAGACCCCCTCCCAAAGAGCCCCCCCAGCAGCAGCCCCACGGCTCCAGCTCCCGACCATGGTCCCACCAATGAAGGATAAAACTGCCAAGACTCAAACCCTCTTGTAGGAGTTACCAGAAACCAAACCCATGGCTGGTGATGTCTTTACAACGAGTCGTCAATCTCAGGTCAATCGAAGATTTCTATGGTCTGATTGTTATTTTTTTGTTTTGCTTTATTTTTATATATATATATAAATATATATATATGTAGACAGCCTTTTGGAAACTTTGTGAAGTTTTATCTTTCTGACCTCTCTTGGGCCTCTTGGGATGTTTCTCCTGACTATGGCTTTATGGAGACCGGTCATGATGGATTTTCCCCACAGCTGCTCAGTAAAAGACTCCTTGGCAGAGTTTAGCAAACTCTCCCATCTCTGACAGACTGGGGATATGGTGGAGCCTTCTCATGGCATCCTGGACCTTTTTCCTGATCAGCAGCTTTAGGACTACTTTTTGGATCTATTTTTTATTTCCAGAAGACTGGATTCGGAGAAGTCCTTCTAACTTGACTCCAAAAACCGAGGCCTGGGAAGGGTCTCTCCGTGGATGTGATGATTTTGTACACTTTCTCTATTTCTCAGGATACATTTTTTTGCTGATTGACTCAAAATAATATGAAAAAAGAAGAAAAAAAATTTTTTAAGAGTGTGTGAGTGTGTGTGTGTGTGTGTGTGTGTGTCAAAAGGTGGGCTGCCTGAGGGCTACTGAAAGACTTGGACAGACAACCCGAGTGAACTCAGAACCTACCTCAACCGGAATGAATGTCTTCTGGGAAGCAGAAATACCTGCGTCTTCCTTCGTGTTCAAGCAAACAAGTAGTGTAGCACTTGGTCAGTACAAGCTTGGTCCTACCTCAGCAGTCACGCTCTGTACCTGCCACCTGGGTGGCTTTGTCCTCGTCGTTCCCATGTAAAGCACTTCCAAACCTTGAAAACAATGTTCTACCTCAAGCGTGATAGAAACTCGTGTGTGTGTGTGTGTATGTGTCTTCTCCCCAGTTCCTGCCTCTCCCACCCAACCCAGTGGGAAGCAAGATGCTTCACTGTGTTATGAGCTTTACTTCGAGGCACGTAGTGGGGCTCTGGGGTGTTTTGTGTGTGTGATGGAGATTTGTATCATGGTTTGTTTTTACTTTAAAGACTGCTGGGGCTGTCACAGGCGCATGGCTTGATGCCCCATGGTTTGCTGGCATCATCACTCTTGCTGGGTGCTGGTGGCGGCTGCTTTGGTCCATGCTGGGGGATTTGGCTTCCCAAGGCTGATTCCCAGTGGGATGATTTATGGCATGTGCTGGCGCAAGCAGCGTAATGCACCCCTGAGAGGAGGGAACCTGGACCTCACCGACGTGTCTCCTCAAAGCCCACCCTGCCATTGGGGAATCCCTGAGCCAGCGCTTCCCAAACTGCATGAAATGCTACTGAGCTGCTCCCAGCTTCTCCGGTGTATTTCCAGCCAGCAGGAGGTCATCGAAAGGAAGAGCTGAGCCCAAAAGGGCTCCCTCCCTTGGGAAGGAGGAGGTAAGAAGGGCTCCCAGGTGATGAAGCTGTGCCAGAGGATGCTGGGGGCTGCCGACAGCCGCCCCCTCCCCTGCCTAGGGTGGGCAGAGGAGCTCCCAACACCAAAGAGAGGGTTTGGGTGTGACCTTCCACCTCCAGGACCAACCACCAATATGCTCCCATGGGTTTTGGGTTGTCCCAGCATGGTGCAGCCTCATCACTTGCTGCATGACTGGTGGTTTCCCTGGGGAGATGAGGCATGGATGGGGGGTGCAGGGACATCATCCAGCCCATGCCAGAGGGCAGCCCTTGCCCCCCAACCCCACCACATGGGTTGGTTAAAATGGGGCAAATATGAAGGTTTGAACTCTTTGTCTAGGTGGTGGTAAATCAAACCTTGCTGTATTTGCAAAGAAAAGTGAAAGGAATCAGGAAAGGAAATAAGGAAATTAGTTTATGTTTTTAAAAAAGTAATAATTGTATTTTTTTAAATGGTACCAAGTGGGAGAGTCCTTGTGTCAGAATCATCCCCCATTACCTTCCCTTGGCAGCAGGATGCTACTGGGAATTGTGTAAATAACAGAATATACAGAGCAATAAGGCAAACATCTC